TCAGGCAGTGCATGTGCACCCCCTACGCATCACCACTGACCCCCCACTCCCCCGCCCCTTGCCTTCAACCACAACAGACTTACCAGCCAGACTCTGCTCTTCAAGCTGCCGGGCTGCATGTCGGAAATTGGATTCGGTATTGGCCAATACACCTCCTTAAAAATTAGCCATTGGTTTCAACCCCCAAAATCCCTGTTGGTGCACCCCTACTTTGCAAGCTTTCAAAGAACAATTTTTCCAACTGTTTAGTTGTTCTAATAAAGATATCACATTTACCCAAGGAGCCTTGTCAGGAATGTCATGGGAATGGTTTGATTGCCCCTAGTGCCCCAAAAGGGGTGGTGCAGGCTGCTTGTTCTACGAATACCAGGCCAGATCCTTAGCTGGCTGCACTCCCCTGGAGCTGCACCCAATACACTGACTAGGGAGATGGCCCACAAATCTCCCTGGCTGTATCCTGGAGGGCACATACTGTTCTCTCCACTGACCTTTAGGGATGCTTCTACTGAACACTGGTCTTTTTCTTCCCTGCAGTCTGGAAAACTGTGGTGTGACAGCTGAGAGCTGTGCAGATCTGAGCAATGTTCTCCGTACAAAGCCATCCCTGATAGATCTGGCTGTGGGAGACAACAAGTTTGGAGATGCAGGCCTAGCTCTGCTGTGCCAGGGGCTGCTGCATCCTAACTGCAAAATACAGAAGCTGTGGTAAGTGAAGCCAGGGGTTGTTTAAATTTCTGTTAAAGGGAGTTCGACATAGCTTCTAAGCTATGCGCACCATCATGCTGGCCTGATCCTACCTGGTCTGTAGAGTCCTCAGCCAGCATATCTCTTATGAAGAAGGGGGCGCCTCTAGTGGAATCAACAAATATCCCCCACGTCTGGTTCTATGAAGAACTCTGGACTGAAAAGGAACACGAAAATAATGACTGAAAATGCATGACAGCACTGCTCTGTGTTCTGTCCAGGTTTATGTACAGAGTAATGTAAAGAATGGAGTTCCTAGGGAAGCATCAAAGAGGTGTATGTGGCCTTTGTGTATGGTGTGTGGGGGGTGGGGATGAGCTTCTTACGGATTGGAAAAAAATCAAAACCAAGCTCTCTTGTTCTGAGTATCTGTCAACCTGCATGAAATAGTATTGTCTACCTTGATCTGTGTGAGTCTAGAACAAGCCAATATTTTTGTTCTCTCCAGGTTATGGGAATGTGATCTCACAGCCGCTAGTTGTAAAGATCTCTCCAATCTTGTCAGTACAAAAGAGTCCCTCATAGAGATGAGTCTGATAACAAATAGTTTGGGAGATGCAGGAATGGATCTTCTGTGCCAAGGACTGAAAGACCCAAAATGCAAACTCCAGTCATTATGGTAAGCGGCAGCAGGTTTTCAGCTCTCACAGCAATGTGTTTTGGATAGGTAACTTTTGCTATGGAGTGTTTACACAAGAACTTCCTACATCATGGTGGACCTTCAGGGAACTTGTGCTGATCTTGCTCGTTATGCTCATTTTCTATATTTTGTAAAGGATTTAAGTGCACTGATGCCACTGGTTAACAGGACTTGTGCTCCTAAATCCCTCAGACACTCTGAAAATCTCTTTACCTTTCAGTTGAGAGGTAGGAAATGGCCTTATTCTAAAGAGAGCTCAGCCATTAAATATCATGCAACTTACTTCAAACAGCAATGCAGCATCTTAATGTAGGGAGGCTCATATGACTTGATCAAGTGGGAAACTGAATGCTCATGGTTTGATAGGTTGTGTCCTTTATTAGACTCAATGTTCTCCCATTGCCATCTCTGAAGTCTGGAGGTTTGAGCCCTAACCCATGTGTCATGGTGCTTCTTCCTGTTCAAGAGGGAAGAAATAAATTTTGTTTGCCAAGGAAAAGCACTAGCCTCTGGGAATAAAGGCAGTCTCTTTGCTGGCTATAAACACATACATATGTGGCTCTGTTTCTGAAGGATTAGACACAAGTCAACACTTGAACTAACAGAAACTTCAAGACTTTAGCTATAGAAAGTTCTGCTTGCATATATGTATCCCTGCTGGCTCTGTGCTGGCCTGCTGTAGAAAAGACTGGGATCTTTTGGTGTTTTGTAGCCAAAGGAAGGAAGAGAATTGCTCCCCTTTAGGGAGCCTGCACAAATAAAGTATCTTTCCACCATTTGAAACCAAAAACATCCTGGTTTTGCTACTGCCTGTATGACCAAGTTTATTTAGCTGTTTTGCTGACCAGGAACAAGAGTGATGCCTTGTTAAGGGTAATGGTAAGGAATTAGTGAAGAGACATGCTCACGAAGGTCGCTTATCAAGTGCCCAGCAATGTACCTATGTTTCAGAGCATGCAGAGTTCTAAATATAATGTCACAGTGTAAATGAGCTTTGGATCTGGGGATGAGGGTGACAGTGGTACAGTAACTCTGTGAGGCATAGACATACTGAGGAGAAAGGACACAAATCATATGAGGAAGGTAGATGTATCAAGAAGAAATAGTTTGCATCTTCCCCCAGATTTGGGTGACTAAAATTTTAGGTAAGCCAGCGGGCATGAAAAATGACTTCTTTCAGTTCCTGAAGTTCTAGGTTTTTTTTGTTTTTTTTGTTTTGTTTTTTTTTTCCCCATGGCAGGCTAAGGGAGTGTGGCCTCACCAGTGCCTGTTGTGAAAGCATTAGCTCCGTTCTCAGCACAAACAAGTCCTTGAAAGAGCTGCAGATAGGTTCAAACAAGCTAGAAGATGAAGGAGTGAAAGTGATTTGTGAAGGACTGCGACAACCCAGCTGTAACATAGAGTCTATATGGTAAGTAGCTCCTAACATACTGGTATCTCTCCACCAACCAAGAATGGGTGTGTGAAGAGGTTGCCAGATAGCTCCAGCATAAAACTGACACTTCATTACAGCAGGCATTGCTGGGGATTGAATGGGGTTTGTTACTGCCTGTTGCAGTTATACTTTATTGGGTATTTGCTGTCCCTTACTTGCCCCTGCAAGGCACATATCAATGGGACAGTGTTAAAGTGGCACAATGGGCAGCTGAGTGCTATTACATTAATGGAGATCAGTCCTCCAAAAAAGCCTTCATTTCCCACAGATTCTTCCCTTCTACTTAAAATAGGCACTGTGTGCTGAGGCTGGGCATGCAGTGGCCCTTGAGGAAATAGAGCAAACCATGGGGAGACTGGAAGAATCTTCTGGGGAAGGGAACTGCTACTGCCAGTGGCAGGGTATCGTGCATGTACCTGTGATGGACTGGTGCAGGCCTCTTGTCATGCAGGATCCTGGGCCATGTGGACAGCTTGCTGGCCTGACCCACATGGAAGTTCCTGTGTTCTGCTAGAGTGCAAATCCTGGTTTGGACTGGTAAGGCAATGGGGCTTTCTTTAGCCTCTTGCTATGCGTGTGTTGTGGTGTTCCAGCCCTACCAGGATAAGCCCCAGGTCAGTTCCAGGGGGAAAGGCAGAGCTGTGAAAAGGAACTGCGCGCATGGTGCTGTCCACAAGCCAATGACATTGTTGCCTCTCATGAATTAATACTATAAAAGCTTTGGCCTGAATACAACCTGACCAGTATCAGTGATGTGCAGTCGTCTCTCCCCCATTTCCCAATGCAGAGAACAAGGGGGCTGTTCTCCATGGCTCCAAGTACACGGACTAAACCTGCAGGGCCTGGGGAATCTTGTGGAGGTCCCATGGGAACTCTAGGGCTGGTTCTAGACACCAGAACTAAGACTAGAAAGCCCCAGTCTGGGAGGAACTTTCAGCTGAGGCCAACCGAGGAGGCATGTGTATATCACTAAGGGTTCAGAGGACTATTGTTGTAAGCAGAGGCAGATCTGGTGGTGAGGGTGTGTAGTGGTGCAGTTGCACCCTGCCTTGCTTGGTTCCTGCTCTACCCAAACTTTAAAACCAACTGCCTGGGATGGGCAGCAGTACTTCTATTCAGGCAGCACTGATTTGAGTTGTTTGATTTCACGGGGACTTATAATCTGCCTGATTCCTGCTAACCTTGCTTCACTCAATAGGTGTTAACAACCCTCTCTCCATTTTAATGGTCTTGATGTTCCACTATTCAAACTATCATCTCTTGTGCAATTTTGCTGTCTGGTAGCCCTTCCTGGTAATGTCTCTTCTATTTCATAGCCCTATAGACTGTTTTTAGCTCTAGCTAAAAATCCTAACTCAGATGTAGTTATATTTCCTAAGGTGTAAAACAGTGCAGTACTGGAGGCACTGGCAAGACGTGCACAAACACTAGATTTTATTTTACAAATTTGAACAAGGGCTGCACATTTTTCACTGTGACTACTGAACTAATGAAACAGTATATTTTGACTATTTTGATCATTTTTGCCTCATTTCTTGTGTTCTATTTTAAGTTTAAAAGAATCTAGTAAACTGGTGTACACTTCAGTGAAGTGGTTTGTTTTTTGGTTTGATTTTAAAGAGAATAATATAGTGCTAGACCCCTAGCATATTAGTAAAGCTTCCAGTTTCTTTAACTAAAAAAAAAAAAAGTCACATTATATGGGATGATGTACCACCCCATCTGTACCCCCCCATTTCAAAATCCTTGATCCACCCATGGTTGTAAGCATTGCTTCATTGAAAACACACAAAGCAGCTGTAGGGAAACCTCTGAAATGTCAAATGTGTGTCAGTGATCTGATCTGTGTTAGGTAGGGAGTCAAGATGTTGCTCCACCCTTCTTACAATAGCTCCTCTAAATGGAATGCAGGTCAGCAAAAGACCTTAAAACCGTTGTTTCTCTTCCCCTACAGGCTGGGGGACAGTGATGCCACAGCTGGTTGCTGTGACAGTATCGCTGCTGTCATCAGTAGCAAACCGTGCCTAAGAGAGATTGACCTAAGCAACAACATGCTGGAGGATGAGGGTGTGAGAAAGCTATATGAAGCAGTGAAAAGCCCTAACTGCAAACTGAAGCATCTAGTGTAAGTAATGCTTCTGGCTTCCATCCTGCTGGACCTGCCTGGCTTTATGAGCCTTGTTAAGCTGGTGGGAGAGTGAAGTCTTGTAAAGGGAGATGGGACAGTGACGAGCAAAACTGCCTCTGGGGAAGCCATTGACAAAAGAGAACTGGTGACTTCCTGTCAGAGGCTAACTTTTCAGATGTACCATAAGCCATGTTGATTATGTGGCCATGCTCATGACACAGTGGCTTAAAGGGACCTGACTCTCCAGTGATCTTTCACAAAAGAGAACCTCCAAGTTAAGTGCCTGAAGGCCCTTTCCCTGCCAGAGCTACAAATAGCTAACGGGACACCTCTTAACAGATAGCTGTGGTCCCCAAACACCCAGCGATTGCTGGAGACCTGTTAGGTCATATGGTCTTCCAGGAAAATGGACTTACCTTGTTACCTCTTGTTGGGCTCAAGGGCAGTTGTCTGAGTCTGTTGTTGATAGAGGTTGACTTCAGGGGGAATCTGAGCTTTTACTTCTGTTCCTTGAAAAGCTTTTAATTCATTCTTAATTCATGTATGTGATTGCCTGAGGACCCCACAAAACTGGAACAGCAGGAAAAAGTCTTTAGCCCACTGGCCAATTCCTGTCTCAACAGACAAACTAGTCCTGCTGTTGGCTTCTGTTCATTAGCTGGCCCCTTCTATATGAAGATTAACTTTCCTAACAGCTACTTTCTGAGCAAGGGTCCCAGGCCTAGCAATGCTTTTATAGGCCTATATGGTGCCTTCTGGATGAATGGGCTTTTTATCACATAGCATCTCCTTAGGGGTGCCCTCTGCACTGTCTCTCCAGTAGTTCTTAAGAGATTTGGAAACAGTGGAGCTTGTTCCCTTGTATTTTCAGGTTGTATGACATCTACTGGAGTTCTGAAGTAGATGATGAACTGCAGGCCCTGGAAGAATCCAAGCCTGGTTTGAAGATAATTTCCTGAGTCCAGATGCGACTATCTTCTGAATGCTGTTCAGGCCCAACTTTTTCCACTTTGTTTATGACGCTAACCAATGAATATCCTGTTGCATATGCTTTCATCAAATTAAAAAAAAATGTGTAGTTTCTGCAGAACAAGTTGTCCCTTAAGGGAACTGGGGTACCTTCTTTGTACTCCTGGATGTGTCAAGACTCGGTCGGGCTTGCTGGAGCTTCAGAGTTGCATCGGAGCCTTTCCACCTCCCCC